AGGGGCCTCGCGTGTCTCACACAGACGAACACGCGTCAGGTGTGCGGGGTGGCAGAGGGGGACGTTCTGTGGACCCCACGGGCGAGCAGGGCACTCTTGGGTTGCCCCTGTCACTGTCTGAAGCAGCATCAGGGTCTGTGTCTCCCCACTTACGAGCCTACCTTTTGGGGTCCTGTTCCCAAAGTACCTTGTTGTCCTCCTGTGTGAGCTTGTGTGGCTCTCAGGTGGATGGAGATGGTTTCCCCTCGCCCTCGGTGGGCCTTGCGACTTAGCCCTGGTTGAACCCCCAAACCCAGGGCAGAGGGGGCCTTTCCCTCAGTGGGGCCAGGAAGCGCGTAGGATAGTGACAGTCTTGGAGCCACGAGCTGTCCGCGCCCTGCGAGTCTGCCGCAGTGGGGCCGCCGGGCCCAGCAGGGACAGTGGCCAGGTGTGAACCCCCCGTGCCTTCCAGAGCAGCCCCCCTTGCCCAGGCCTGGCGGCTGTGGGGTCAGAGGCTGCCGTCAGCGCGAGGCGGGCCGGCCTGTCTTGTCAGCCTCACGGCTGTCTGTCCTTCTGTCCGTCTGGGGGCAGCTCTTCTGGGAGAAGAAGCTCAGTGGCCTGAATGCTTTTGACATTGCTGAGGAGCTGGTGAAGACCATGGACCTCCCCAAGGGCCTGCAAGGTAACTGGGGTGGCGGTGACAACCCCGAGGGGCTGATCCACAGCCCGGGGCTTGAGGCTGCCCGGGAGTGAGAGGGAGGGGTGTCTGGCAGCGGTCATGGCGCAGCCCCCAGCTCCGCCAGCGCCGGCCTCCTAACTGGGCCACGCTCACCCGAGGCCTGGGGTGTGGTCTGGCTCCCGCACCCCGACCCCCCTCGCTGGGGGGCAGAGTGAGACCATTTCACACAGGGGCCTGACGGTGCCCCCGCCCCGCCCCGCCCTGCTCCACAGGGGTGGGCCCTGGCTGCACAGACGAGACGCTGCTGTCGGCCATCGCCAGCGCCCTGCACACCAGCACCATGCCCATCACCGGGCAGCTCTCGGCCGCCGTGGAGAAGAACCCTGGGGTGTGGCTCAACACCACACAGCCGCTGTGCAAGGCCTTCATGGTGACCGACGAGGACATCAGGTAGCATGTCGTCCTGCCCTACCCCGTTCTCTAGCCAGGGGCCAGTGCGCGTGAGTTTCCCTTCGCCTCTTCAGGGGCGTTTGTCAGAGCGGCGGGCAGTGCGGCCTGCCGCAGGGCACAGGCCTTGCCCTCTGGGCATGCTTCGAGACAAGAAGTGGGTCCTTGTCCCGGTCTGAGGGGCTCCTGGTGTGTCCTGCCTTCGCTGGGCGCGAGCGGCTCACCAGCCTGCCTGCTGGGGGCGGCAGAGGGGGCCATTCCAAAGGTGGGGGGGCGCTGCATGTGCGGGGGACGCTTGGGCCCTGAGGCGGGGCCTGAGTGAGCAGGTGGGTGATGGGTAGGTGGCAGGGCGGGGGGGCGTACCCTGCCATTGTCCAGGTGCAGATAAACTCAGGGCATGTGTTTGCTGGAATGACCTAGTAGAGAGGTCCTTGAACTGGCACTGGGACAGGAAATATCTAGTAAGGCTGGAGGGATGAAGCACACTCTTTTAAACTTCAGAGCACAGACTCCTGAGATCCCATTCAGGGAGGGGCTGCGAACTGGCAGTGCCAGCTGTCGGTGCAAGCCCGTGGGGCTCTTGTCTGGGGACCAGGGCTTTCAAAGGTATGTGGGGCCCTCCCTGGTGGCGCAGAGGTTAAGTCTCAGCACTATGAAGCGTCCGCAGCCACAGCGCAGGTTCAGTCCCTGGCCAGGGGGGGACCCACAGGGCGCGGCAGACCCCTCCTGTCTCCCCGCTGCTCCCCTCAGCAGTGGATTTCGGTGCATCTGCCTGTTCTGCGCCCCACTCTGTCTCTGGGGAGTCCTCTCACCGCCCACACCTCTGGCCTGTGCCCCAGCTCTTGTGTGCACAAATAGATAAACCTTAAAAACCAAAAGCCGTGGGGGTGGGGCAGGAGCAGGGTACCTGCTCTTGGCGAAGGCTCAGCCTAAGACTTGACCCCCCACCACTACCTCTTCAAGGTCCAGTCCTGAGGGAGGGAGGTGAGCAGGGACATTAGGAAAGACTAAGACCCCTGGAAAGACTAGGCCGGGTATAAAAACTAAGGAGAGCTTCTGGAAATAAGGGGCGTTCAAACAAAAACTGGTGGGCGAGGCGTGGGCTGATCCATCCGGAACACACGCGCGACTGGCCGAGCCTGGGGGAGCTCGCCTGGAGACCTGGGGTGACCGCACAGGGCCTGCGGGACCCGGGGCGTGTCCATCCTCCATCGCAGATTCCGGTCAGCGTGTGGCGCAGGCCACTTGGAGAGACCCGTCCCCTCCCGGCGGGAGGGCGAAAGGCGCGCGTGAGCAGCAGGCCTGCGACACCGGGGCTCCCCACGCGGCCGGGCCCAGCACAGCCGTGCGCAGGGAGGAAGCGGCGGCGGCCGGGTGCCGTGGTCCCGGGCACCGACCGTCGCGCGCCCCTGTGTCCCCAGGAAGCAGGAGGAGCTGGTGCAACAGGTGCGCAAGCGGCTGGAGGAGGCGCTGATGGCCGACATGCTGGCTCACGTGGAGGAGCTGGCCCGGGACGGCGAGGCGCCGCTGGACAAGGCGGGCGCGGAGGAGGAGGAGGAGGAGGAAGAAGAGGAGGAGGAGGAGGAGGAGGAGGAGGAGGAGCCAGACCAGGACCAGGAGATGGAGCACGTCTAGAGAGAGGTGCGGCCACGGCGGGTGCCAGGTGGTGACGCCTGGTGCGACCCACGTCCTCGCCTCTGCTCCCCGGCAGCGCCCCCAGGGCCTCCTGCCTCCCCGCGGGCCTGGGGACGGCACCCAGCACTGTCTCCAGGGGCCCCCGGCGTGGCCTCTGCAGACGGGCCCAGCGGGCCTGCGGGGGGACGGCCCTCCCCTGGTGCTTCCGCCCCTGCCCCAGGGCGCGACGGAGGACGTGTCTGCTCCCCCAGACTGTGTCTGCTCCCCTCCCCGCTGGGTTTCTGCCGGCCACGGCTCCTGCGCTCAAGCCCGGGAGCCACCTGCCAGGCTCCCTGGGAGGCTGGAGACAGCTTTGAAGCAGTGTCGCCTCCTGATCTGAGCAGCCTGAGAGAATCTTCTGGGGCCAGCTAGTCAGCCCTCTGGAAGGGGGCTGTCCCCTGTGCCAGCCTGGCTGGGCAGGCCGCGATGGCCCGAAGCGCTGAAAGCCGGTGGCACAGCCCAGACTTTTCCTCAGTGAACTTGTGGTGCAACCAGAGCAGGACGTTGGCCTCTGCGGAGCCCTTGTGTTCGCTCGCGTGGATGTGAACTCCGGCCCTGGCTTCCAGACGCCTCAGCCCAAGGGTCGGGACAGACTCTGGACAGAGGAGGGACGGCCGCAGCCTGGATGCGGCGTTCAGGCTCGCCGGTGCCTGTCCGCTGCCAGGCTGGCTCCGAGAGCTCCAGCTGCCGTCGACCTCCGTGCCTCAGTTTC